GCATATCAACAAGTAATAATGTAAGATCTTTTGTACCCTATTTTATGCTGATGGTGATAATTTGTTTTATTAACAAATTGCTTTGGAGTTTCACTTCTCCATTCGTGAGGATAAGGACATCTGTAGGAAAATACTATTCCCATCCTAGCAATAAGAAAAGAAAATCTGCCAATGAATAACTCATTATAAAGAAATAATAAGGAAAATAAAGTGAATCCGAGTGATTGAGGCTCCTCTCTAGGAGAAAGGGCATAAAAACCTTTGTGTTTCTATCATTTTACCTTTGTTAAAACATAGGAAAAGAGGCTAGTTCCATACGGGTGAGTAAGGGGAGGTTACATAAGAGTATCAAACACTCGTAAAAGCTAAGTATAGACAATCCTATTTCTTGAAGTCCAAGATCCACAGATACACTTTCTTGGTCTCAGGTTTTCCTTGGAGTCTCACGATAAAGACTAGGAACAGGGGATCAAGTGATGGTACAGTGAAAAGGCACTTGCCTTGCATGCAGCCAAACTGGGTTCTATCCCTAGCACCCCATATTCTCTGAGCACAGAGCCAGGAGCAAGTCCAGAATACTGCCATAAGTGCTCTCTCCCCACAAAAAAATAAGAAGAAAGGAATATTAGTGACTTTTAGGAAATAAAGGGCTACTTTTGGGAAATATATATAAAGTGCTTCCTTCAAACCATACTCTCATCAGGAAAAAACTCTTGGATGTGTGAGCTGCAAATTTTCCCATCACAAACTTTCTCAGACCAACATCCAATGCTATTGAAGGAGGGGTAGAAGTGAACACACTTTGCCGCTAGGTAAAGGAGTAAAAACTATCCACAGGCCCAGACTCTTCTACTAAGCAACGATCTGCTATCACTGGAGAAGAATCACATGCATGGGGAAAGAGCGCGGTTTGCTGTTCCAAACAGGCAGTAATGCTTAAAGTTGAGAATGAATCGGAAACACTAAAAAAAAAAAATCTCTCTAGCAGCTCACCATCAGTTTTGACACTAAGGAAAAATAAACCACTTCTGGAGGAATTTGAAACTTTTGGTTCACTAAAGGGGATAACAGAAACAATAAAATCCCAATCCAACTCCTGTCTAGATGTACTCAAAGTCACATGCTGATGAACATCTTGATAGAGGAGGGGTGTCCATTATTTGTACACACATTATCTAGCATTCAATTTTATAAAATTGAGATGTACCAAAAAGAAGGGAAAAACAAATCACTATTTCATTCAGAGAGAATCAACTGAAACAGAGTCAGAGATGAACTAGATATCAGAACAAACAGAAAGGAAATTTAAAATGACTATGTTGTGGTTTTCCAAAGAGGCATTGAGAGGCAATCATGTTTGGTCTATAGTCTACTTTCAGCATGCTTCTCCCATCCTGGGAGGATCCTCCCAACACCCTTTATTTGGTGCTCCCTTCTCTTTCTGAGCTCCCTTTTCCCCTAGCGTGTGTGGCTGGCCTCTAAGCCATGGAGCAAACATGATTGCCTCTCAATGCCTCTTTTGCAAACCACAATACCCAAAAGGAGAGAGAGAACAAAATGGAATGCCCTGCCACAGAGGGAGGGTGGGATGGGGGGTTGGGGGTGGGAGGGATACTGGGATCCGCCATGGTGGGAAATGGGCACTGGTGGAGGGATGGGTATTTGATCATTGTAAAATTGAAACCCAAGCACAAAAATTTGTAAGTCTACAACTGTACCTCACAGCATCTCACTAATAAAAATTTAAAAAATTTCAAAAAAATGAATATGTTTGATAAGTAATTGATATTATCAGAAAACATTAACGACATACATAAATAAAAAGTCAATTTAATCATGGAGATGAAAGCTATTAAAATATAAAAAGAGGAACGCTTAAATAGAAATCACAAAATCAAAGATGAATTACTCCTTCACTGGGCTCTAAAGCCAGTTTAACACAGTTAAGGAAAAATTCATGATTAAAGGTATACCAAACAGAGATGATTTCTACTTAAATACGTAAAGAAAAATAGTGAACAAGGTAGAACATGTAAGAGCTTGAGAACTCTATGTGGTCATAAAACATCTAATATATGTATAATAGGAATCCTAGAGAAAAGGATAGAGAAGATGGAAGGAAATATTTGAAAGTATAATAACTGGGAACTTCCTAAAATGAATGAAAGACAGCAAAAAATACATTCAAGAATCCCAGAGAACCAGGGAGGAATGGTTTAAAAATATACACACCTAGACATATAATAATCGAATTATTGAAAACAAAGTATAAAACATTGTACTGATGGCAGAGAGAGGTTATTGTTGGGAGAAATTCACATACAGAGGAATAGGAATGGAAACCACAGTCTAATTTTTCTGATGAAGACATGAGATTGGCTAGTAGACAAATAAGTGCTTATTACCATTAGTTAACGGTCACGGTCACGGTCCTCCCGTTGTTCATCGATTTGCTTGAGCGGGCCCAGTAACGTCTCCATCATGAGACTTGTTACTGTGTTTGGCATATCGAATATGTCACGGGGAGCTTGCCAGGCTCTGCCGTGTGGGTGAGATACTCTCGGTAGCTTGCCGGGCTCTCGACAGGGGTGGAGGAATCGAACTCGGGTTGGCCATGTTGGCTGCGTGCAAGGCAAACGCCCTACCGCTGTGCTATCGCTCCAGCCCACCATTAGTTAACAGAGAATTAAAATCAAAATGACAATAAATCAGCTCACACCAGAAAGAATGCTATATATCAGAAAGATCAGAAATAACAAGTGTTAGAGAGGATATAAAGTATAAAATGAACTTTGGGAGCTGGCGCAAAAAGACAGCAGGTGAGGTGCTTGCCTTTAATGTGGACGACCTGGGTCCAATCCCCAGCACCCCTTATGGTTCCGAGAAATGCCAGGAGTAATCTCTGACAGCAGAGCCAAGCTAAACCCTAAGCACTGCTGAGTATGACTCAAAAACTTAAAAAGAAAAGGCATCTGTATTTATCTGACCCAGTGATTTCACTTCTTGCCACCTATACCAAGAACACAAAAAAAAATTAAATTGAATTTTTTTCACAGCTGGGGCTGGAGCCATAGCACAGCGGTAGGGCATTTGCCTTGCAAGCGGCCAACGTGGCTGACCCGAGTTCGATTCCTCCACCCCTCTCGGAGAGCCCGGCAAGCTACCGAGAGTATCTCACCCGCATGGCAAAGCCTGGCAAGCTACCTGTGACGTATTCGATATGCCAAAAACAGTAACAACAAGTCTCACAATGTGTTGTGAGATGTTACTGATGCCCGCTCGAGCAAATCAATGAACAACGGGAGGACGGTGGACAGTGCTACTTTTTCACAGCTATTTCATTGTAGTACTTAGTACAGTACAAACAACATTAAAATAAACCAAATATTCAACAACAGATTAATAGATAAAGAAGCTGTGATATCGAGAACAGATGACTGGTTAAAGAAACTTTGGTACATCTACATAGTGGAATACTATGCAGCTGTTAGGAGAGATGAAGTCATGAAATTTGCTTATAAGTGGATAGACATGGAGAGAATCATGCTAAGTGAAATGAGTCAGAAAGAGAAGGACAGACATAGAAGGACTGTAGTCATTTGTGGAATATAAAATAACATAATATGAGGCTGACACCCAAGGACAGTAGACACAAGGGCCAGGAGTATTGCCCAATAGTGCCTGCCTCATGAGCTGGGGGAGAAGGCAGCTGGAATAGGGAAGGGATCACTAAGTCGATGATGGTTGGAGGGATCATTTGGGATGGGAGATGTGTGCTGAAAGTAGATAAAACGTGATAACCTCTCATTATCTGTATGCAAACCATAATGCCCAAAAGTAGAGAGAGAGTACTGGGGAAATTTTCTGCCATGGAGGCAGGGGGAGGGTTTGAAAGTGGGGGTACACTGGGGAGATTGGTGGTGGAGAATGTGCACTGGTGGAAGAATGGGTGTTTGATCATTATATTATTGAAACTCAAACATGAAAGCTTTGTAACTGTTGAAACTATCTCACAGTGATTCGATTTTTTTTAAAAAAAAAACATGTGGTATATATATACACAATGGAATACTCTGTGGCAATAAAAAATAAAATCTTGCTATAAATTTGCTACAAGTTGGATGAAACTGGTGGGTATCATGTTAAGCCAGAGTGAGAAGGAAAATATTAAATGATTTCACACATCTGTGATTGATGATGAGTGAAACTACGGTGATGAACTCATGAGAATAGACATAACATTCTATTCATTCATTTTTTTAAAAAATTTACATAATAGAACTTTCATTCATTCATTCATCATCCTGTTATTCGTCGATTGCCTCGAGCAGGCCCCAGTAACGTCTCTTTCATCCTAGCCCTGAGATTATATTCAAGGCTCTTTAGGAGAATGAGACCCATCATTGTGACTGGTATTTGGCATATTTAGTACGCCACGGGGAGTTTGCCAGACTCTGCCCTGTGGGCAGGCTACATTCGATAGCCTGCAAGTTTGTCCAAAGTAGGAATGAGATAATAAGATAATAGAACTTAAAGAAATAAAATGCTTCCAAAGAAGAAATTTGTAGAGGGCAGAGGAATAGTACAGGGTTTAGGTACATACTTGGCATATAGTCAACCTGTATTCAACCCCCAGGCTCACATGGATCCTCAAGCATTGCCAGGTATGACCTTAGAGGTATCAAGTGCTGCTGCGTGATCTGCTAATACCTAGAACCACAGGGGCCAAGTAACTCTGCACCCAGCATCCTTGCATTGAACTGCAGGTCCAGTTGGCTGAGAGCTGCCAGGAGAGGCCCTCAGGTCTCCTATGCACTATGGTAGCCCATCCCACTAAAAAAAGTAATGGGTAGAAGGAGAATGTGTATCATAGCACACATTCCACTAAGAATCTATGACCATTTTTTGCCTCTAATTTCTTCTTGGTCCTTGATTCAAAACAGGTTCACAGGTCTTAGAGTTCTGCATTCCCTTTCTCTAGTAATAGTAGCCCAACCTACCAGTGCCAAAGCTCTCTTCTCCACACAGCGAACATCGCCCTGAGTCCATCAGATTTGAGAAGAATCTCCATCCAGCTGGGGTCTCATATACAGGAACCTTCATCGATTTGGCCACTCTGAAAAATAAAATTTGAGGCAACAATCAATTTATAGTCTTTGTTTTCTCAGCACAGAATAAATCATGAAACTGGATTATAAATTTCAAAACTATATTTCAGGACACCCTGAACAATTTTAACAATATCTAAGACACTGCCATAGGATAAAAAAAGAAGATAAATAAACTTTCTAATGGTTCTCAAATTTTCTTTCCCAATAATGTAGAAAAGAATATTAAGTTAATGTAAAGAATTTTTTCATATTTCCCATCTATAAAGTAAAGGCCCTCCCGTTGTTTGTCGATTTGCTTGAGCGGGCCCAGTAACGTCTCCACTGGAGACTTTGTTGTTACTGTGTTTGGCATATCGAATACGTCACGGGGAGCTTAAATGTTCCTTTATATTTGTATTAAGATCCTATTTGGGGGATCTCTGCATCTAAATTAATATGGCTGCTCAATATAAAAATTTTGGAATATTGTTTGACAGTATCTTAAAAATAAATGTAATATAGCCTATGGACAACCAATTCAACTTTTAGAAATTATTAATGACATGCATTATTCACATCCACAGTGAATATTGTGGAAAACTGCTACATTTTTACCATGCACGTGAACACACACACATTTTAGAATGTTTGTAACTGGAACACTTATTCTTCCAACCGATAGGAATACTGATGTTCAACAGTTCATAGATGTAATCCCAGACTCTTCCAGAGACATGTCATTCGAAACTACAAAATCTTACCCAGGTGTATTGACACTCATGATGGAGGTATCAGCCCTCCTGTTTATATCCAGTGAATTCTCTAGGGCGATCTCTAGGACCACTCAGCTGTCCCACCTCCCTGCAATTCCCCTCTCCCTCTCACAGCACACACACACACACACACACACACACACACACACACACACACACACAACAAGGTTGGGGTAGGCCTTTGTTGTGGCTGCATTGAAATTTAGTTTCTCTGCTCAATCCTCACTCACTCCCCCCACTTTCCCCACAGGCACTGATCTGGAAGAAAACTTTGAATTTGATGGCAGAAAGGAATAAACTTTCTACAAAGCAAATCTCTTTGAGAACTCATTCTTGAGGACCACAATATGTGCTATGACTCGTTAGAATGTGTACATGAACTTTTACAAAAATGACTGTAGAATCACAATTTATATAACCAAATAAACCCCCAAATGTCTTCAATATATACTAAACAAAAAATTGTCATATACATACATATATATATAAAATGTAATTCCACTGGATATATTACTACCTTATGCAACAGCTAGAATGAATATCATAAACATAATAATAAATAAATAGTAGCAAAAAATGTGTACTGTATGGTTCCATTTAGATTAAATTCTAAAGCACCTAACATTAATTTATTTGGAAAATGATAGGCTCAGAGAATCAAAAAGTTTAATTATGTTGCTCAAGACTTGACGTAATTAAGAGGCAAAGTTAAGTAGGGACCAAAGTCTACTTAATTTTTACTGTTGTTCCTTTCTATGACACAGTGCTTTCTTTCCAAATGTTTTAGTGCTTTCAGAGGTACAGTGCTCTCAAAGAAAAGTTGAAGAACGAGCTGGCACTGCATGTAGATAATGGTGTGAAGAATTTCATCTTGTCCACATGCAAGTAACTAAAAGAAAAAAATGACCTCGGCCTGCAAGGTTTGGATCTTTGAATGTTCAAAGTGCAGTAGGTAGTTGAAGAGAAGAGCCAGTAACAGAGTCTTGTTGAAGAAATGCACACAGAACAAAGGTCACAGTATGATTTTTTTCCTTAAGGCTTGGTTTGTGGTCATCTCGAAAATATCCAGAAACTTCTGATGCAGAAACATGAACCACTCTTCTCCCATGAACCCAAAAAAGAGTTAATAGGTTCAAAAATTGAAAACTTTATTCTCTTTCAACATTGCTCAGGGAAAAAAAGGCACCTTTTAGGAATTTTGGTGTTACATAAAAATGTCTATTTTCATTTTTCATTCAGTGGTCTGAAGTTGTTCAAACCATAATTGGAATTATGAAACAAGTCCCCCTCTAAATTTCAGTGCAAAGATAAATTTTGAGAACCATTAATTTCGTGGTCAGAAGCTCAAGGAAGGAGAAATAAATGACAGAGAAGCTTCCCAAGGGCAGTAGATGGGAAAGCCTGTGTCAAAATTAATTTAGCAAATATAAATACTTGTGATTATCAAGTAGAATGTACAAAGTAGAATGGTGAGGGTAAGAGAAAGGGTTAGAGGGTGTGAGGATGTATATCATCAAGGAAAAACATTCTTGGTTCAAAGTCAAATTGGCAGATCTTCAGGGAAGGGAAAGGATTTCCCCAGCTCCCACCCTTTCTAATTAATCACTGCCAAGAGAGGTCATCAGGCTGAAGACTGAGGTGGATTTTAAAGGACCAGACAGTTTTATGACTATGAGCCACAGTTGCAGTAATGCAAGCTAAGATAACAATATGGGTAATTAAATTCTGGGATCCTGAGCATGAGCCGATTGTGTTTGAGGGTCAGAAAGGAATTCCCCTTCTTCCTCCCTCTCTTTAACTTGGGATCCATCCCAAACACAGCATTCAGCTGATAACTCTAGCTAGAATGTTTTTTGGCAGGAAACCCTGGACTTCTCTGAGATTTTTTTGGTACAAAAAGTTAAAATGAAATTTCTCATGCTGAGGGTCTGCACTCCTCTCCTTGACTGCTACCAGCATGGACTGGAGAAAAACATAAAAACCCATTTTCTAGGAAAGACCAGACTATGAAGGAAAAGAAAGAAAATTAAATCTGTGCCATCGATTTTGTGAAAGTGGGAATGAGCCCTAATAGAAAAATAAAATTCAATTTTTTAAATTTTGGATTATTAGATATGACCTCCTCCAGGTAGATTTTTTTTAAATCTCAAAAAGAAATGTAGTTTGGAGGATCCTCCCAGGAGGGGAGATGCATGTCTAAAGTAGACTATGGACTGAACATGTTTGCCACTCAATGCCTCTTTTGCAGACCACAACACCCAAAAGGAGAGAGAGAACACAGGGGATTGCCCTGCCACAGAGACAGGGGGATAGGGGGATGGGGGTGGGAGGGATATTATCCATGGTGGTGGAAAATGGGCACTGGTGGAGGGATGGGTATCTGATCATTGTATAATTGAAACCAAAGCACAAAAAATTGTAAATCTACAACTGTAAAAAATAAAATAAAATAAAATAAAGGGAAAAAAAAAGAAATGTAGTATTGGGTTGAAAATAGTCAGGTCAGCAGTCCTGTGATTGACCACATCATATTCAATTGATGGTTTTGCCTGGCCAATGTCACTGTTGTCACGAAATTCCAAACGGGATAGGACCACTGTCTCCTTCGTGCAAAATTCTACTTCATGGAGCAGGGAGAAAAGGCTGCAAAGTCTAAGATGAGAACTCCCAGAACGACCACCAACTGGGAGCTCTTTGGCACTACTGTGGCAACATGGAAGATGCCATCGTGACGACATCAGCGAGGAATGCGATCGACTGGTTCAGCACCTCCATGACTGTGCAAGGAACGCCGAGGGAGAGAAAGCCACAAAAAGACTCCTGTCTTCAGAAACTCTCGAGCTCATTCGCCAATGTGGTTTGGTGCAAGCCAAGTCTGAGCTCGCAAAGCAGTGCAGAGAAGCGATCAAGGAAGACCTCAAAGAGAGAAAAGCAGCACTGCTGGCTGATGGGCAGAAGCTGGAAAAAATGTTTGTAATGCCCGCCTGTCCTTCGCCAACTACAAGACCAAGATGACTGGCCCCCAATGTCCTGATGGATCTATCACATCTTCCAGAAGGGCAATGGAGAAGATTATCCATGACTTCTACTCAGATCTCTTCCACAGCCATGTTCAACTGCCTACATACCAAATTCTGCAGGATGGATATGTCGTTCCCAACGTTCTCCCTGCTGAAACCCGACACACCATTTCGTCAGTAAAGAAGCATACAGCACCTGGTCCAGACAAAGTCAGACCAGAACAGCTGAAGAGTCTGCCATCAGTACTTGTCAATACACTGGCTCAGCTCTTCACACACTACCTGTCTGAATGCAAGGTTCTGTCCCAATGGAAAACCAGCAGGACCATTCTACTGTACAAGAAGGAAGACATCCACAACATTGGCAACTATTGCCCAATTTGCCTGTTGTCCATTGTCTACATGCTATTCACTTGAGACATCCTGACTAGGACTGGCTGAACACTAGATGAAGAATAACCATGCAAGCAAGCCGGGTTCCAAAAAGGATTCAGCACAACTGACCATATCCACACAGTGACCAAGCTCATTGAGGTTTCTCAGGAGTTCAAGATGCCGCTCTAACATTCACTGATTTAAAGAAGGCCTTTGATTCTGTTGATACTGAAGCAGTCATCGAAGCCTTAGCCAAACAGGGCATTCAAACTCAGTTCATCAGGATCCTCCATGAGCTGTATTGCGAATTCACTATCAGAATCTCACCATTCTACAGGGAGGTGATCATTGACCTCAAGAGAGGGGTTCGGCAGGGTGATACCATTTCACCAAAACTCTTCAGTGCCACCCTCAAGAGTGTCATGCGATGACTGGAATGGGAAGGAATGGGAGTGAAGATAGATGGTCGGCATCTACACCACCTCTGCTTCACTGATAACATCGTTCTAATAACACCAAACATTAGCCAAGCGGCACAAATGCTGGCCAACTTCGACTGTGAGTGTGGAAAGGTCGGACTGCAGCTGAATCTCATGAAGGCAATGTTTATGAAAAACTGACTAGCTCCTGATGTTCCATTTGCTCTCAATGGAATGAACATCTCCGAATGCAGCAGTTACATGTACCTAGGTCGAGAACTCAACATGACGAATGACCTGGCACCTGAGCTGTGCAGGAGGAAAAGAGCAGCGTGCAATACCTTCAAAAGAGTCAAAGAAATAGCAAAGATGAAGAACCTCCGGCTCTGGGCACATCTCTTAGACTCCACCATTTTCCCTGCACTAACATACGCCTCAG